TGCCTCTCCCCTCCACTCTCCCCCCGCCCTTTGCGTCTTAAAAAAAAAGAATGCAGCAGTCTAAAATGTGGGAATGAGGAATGGAAAGCAAAAAAAGAGGCTACCATGCCCCAACTGGACCTGCAAACTCACAGGACCGACTGAAGAAGAACTAGGAGGTGCAGAGGCCTCAGAAATCCTGTTCCAGTGATCAGGCATTCTTTTGCCTTCCCCACTTCCTGCTCTGGCAAGAAGGAACAGGGAAAGGACTTGTCCTGAGGATCACTGTGACTCCTCTCCAGTATCTGTATCCTAGGCTGGCTCCTCACACCAGGTGCTGGTCACAAACCAGAGGCAGATTCATGTTTTTTTTTTTCCTGAAACCCCAGGCTTCTTGACCAAGGCCTAGGGAGAGGCCACAAACACCTTCAAATGGCCCAAGCAAAGCAGCCAGGAAAAGCCAGGCAACTTCCAACCACAGGTTGTGAGGCAGAAGCTTCCGGGGAAGAGGCACCTAGCAACACAATCCAGTCTGACTCCTGGTAAGCTGGTCTGGCTTCACAGGGGACCTGCAGAAGGCCAAAGAACACATCAGAAGCTCCTGGCCTCTCAACAGAGGACTCCCTGGGTCCTTAATGTCAGTAGAAGAGGTTGGGAGGGGAACAGTTTACCCAGGAATACAGAGTATGCTCCACTTTCACACCTGCTCTTTGGGCCTAAGTGATAGCTTCCTTCCTTTAATTTGAAAGAGGAAGCCAGAGTTGCCCCCATGATTTACTTGGTTGATAAGGCTTGGAGAAGAGAAGCCTAACAAGGCTTGAAGAAGAGAAGTTCTGACCTTTTCTGATACCAGATTAGTGAGTGATGTGGAGTGTGTGTCTACTCTGTTGGAGGGTGGTAAGAGAGGGAAAGGGAAAAGTGGACACAGGCAAAGGATGACCTAAGCCTTAGGCTTCTGTGTCTTTGGGTATATACATAAGTAGTGATAGTCAAGTCTGCGGGAAGGGGAGTAAAAGTGTGTCCTGGTATATTGGTAGGTGTCCATATCTCTGGGTACTTGCCTGTGTGAATGGGACTGTTCATGTTGAAATGGCAGAGACAGTTTATAGGCACACATTGAATACCATGCTGTTGTGGAATTGGAGGGGAAGATAAGGTCACAGGGGACACCTTGAAGTGGTGTCTCCTAGCCCAACTTTGAAACTTTCCAGCTTCCATGGGGAGAAGACTTGCAAGTAGAGAAAAGTCTTGAGGTCTTTTGCTGATCATACATCCGGTGACCTATTTGTTCACAAGTAACATGCAGATGGATTTTTTTTTTTTTTTTTTTTTTTTTTTTTTTTTGCAGGACTAAAGGAATACTACTGGTGACCCTCAACCCTGATCAATTTCAATAAAGGATGTAGTGTCTCCCAAGGACCCATGCTAGGATAGTGCATCTACCCCTAACAACAAGCAGAGGAAGGAAGGACACTTGCCTTTTTCCAAAAAACACTATACCTCGCCTGGTTAGCAGTAGAAAGTGAAAGGCAATGCAAAGAAGATGGATGTCATGAGAAGGGGAAGAGGATGGGGAAAATGAGCACCCACATTCCTCCTAGGGTGTTTTGAAGGATCTTGAGCCTGAAATCTTCATAGGGTGGTAACCAACACATGGAGTGGCAGGGTGACACAGTGGCCTACTTCCTAAGGAAAGAACACCCCCCCCCCCAGAATGCTCTTGTCAATGGAATGCACCATGAATGGGCCTGTAGGAACTTGCAGTGGCAAAGGCTAAATATGAACCATGACTTGGCTATGTCATCAGCACATTCCAACTGGCCAGAGGTCCAGAAAATGACTCTCCCCACCCGACCTGCATCTTCCCCCATCCTCTTCCCCAAGACCGTAGTGTACTGGGAACACAAGTGGGCATGAAATGGGGATGAACCCGATACAAGGGAGATGAGATCTTCATGGATAGTACCCAAGGCTAGGTAGAAGCGGGGATGGCCCCTCTCTCCCTCAATCAACAAGAGTCATTATGATTTGCAATGAAATCATTCTATTCTTTGTCCTTGTCCTCCTGCTTCCTCCCAACACACCCTGCCAGAACCTGATTTCCACAAAGTAAGAATGAAGAACAGGTAGTGACTCTCAGTAATGGAAAGCCATGGGAGGAACAAGTGGAAAATGAACAGAGAATTGTAGTGAAGCAGAAGGTAGGAGAGTGAACCAGAATAATTTGAATAGCAAGTGGACTTGTGGTTCATGGAGTGGCATCCACTATCCTCACAGGAAAAGAGTACCACCAGCCAGGATTGCATTTTTACCCCCTGGAGACCATGGTATAAGCCTTGTCCAGCCAGAGGTCTCTTGTGTGATGATGGCACTGCCTCCTCCTTGTCCCCCAGGCTAAACTGGGAAAACAGGCAGACAGTGTCAAGTGAGGGGGGCAACAGAGGGAACAGTCAAATCGAGTGGTCCAGCCCACTGAGCCTGGCTTGGGGATCGCCTGTGTATGAGTGTGGGTGTGTGGGTGCACAGACCTGCTCACCTCAGCTTAAATACGGATGCATGTAACTGAAGACTTAGACAAGCTCAGCTATCTCCAAGAGTGAGAAGTGAGTGCAGCTCAATGTGAAGGAAAAAAAAAAAAAAGATGACCTGTGACAAAGAGGGAGCATTCTACCACCTGAAAGTCCACCTCCCTGCATTTCTTTCTCCCCAGCTTTAAGCAGGTGCAATAGATGACCTTATGATTGCTACACAACTTCAAAGTAGTTGAAAGGTAACAGGAGAGTGGATAGAGGTGGTTCCTGTTCACATATGCATTCTTTGCTTTTGGTTTCTTCTCCCCATATTTAAATGTTGCTCTATTTCCAGCATCATATTAGAGTGGAAGGATGGACAAGTGGTTGAATCCACACTTGGGAGTATCCCCATTGCACTGTGTTGATCTGGAATGTCAAGCTTACTTTGGCAAGAGATGGCTGCATTCCCACTGTGGTCTACACCTCTGGAAAGAGAGCAGACATTTGGCACATGGGAGAATGATGCACCAGGCCCACTACTCTCCAGGCAACGAGCATTGAAGTTAGGCTAAGGAACCTTCACAATAAGGTAACCAGGACATATCTTTCAAACCAGCCCTTCATATAGGTCCTGATACTTGAGGTGGCCTATCTGCATGGAAAATTTCAAATGGTGGTCTAACTTCTCTACATGCACACCCACATACAGAGAATCACAAGAAATATACTTGAACAAACATACCTGCCCCCCTTGCCCATTCCCGCCCTGCTACCTACCACCTCCACTTCTCACTTAATATCCAGGGTGAATAATCAGAATGCACCAGAGCTCTGGTTCAAAGTGCACAGGTCTGTGTGTAGGCATAATTCACAGGCCTTCTACCCCACCCCCTCAGCATCTCTGAAGGCACAGGACTTCCTGCATTCAGCTTCCCACCACCCCTCTGCCAGAATCTAAACTCCACCTGAAGATAAAATATTCAGGGTATCTAGAACTACTGAGCATGGAACAGGCACCTACTTCTGGTGTGGAATAGAAGTCTGCCAGCCTGTCTACCCATGCCTCTGTCAAGGAACACCTAAATCCCAACCAGTGAGCCAATGAAGTATGCTGAGCACAGTGGAGGCCTTCCAAGGAGAGGCCCCCATGAAACCCATCTCAGAGAGATCACCTTCCCCCTGACACAAAGGAGTGCCTTGGATTCTGAGGGAGGTGCCATGACCTCCTTGTCCTGCCAGGTTCTCTGGCATGTTATAACCACTTCAGCTGTCCTTCTTGGATCTGACAGTTCTGGCCCCCCAACCTGTGCCCCTGTGGCCACAAGGAAGTTTCCTACCCAAGGAAAAGCGAGTTGCACACAAACAAGAGACCCAAGTTCCTGTCCCAGAGGGACATGCAGCTCCAAGGGGAATGTTTATGTCCTCCTCTGCCCTGAGAATGGTGGTTGGGTGTATGAAGGAAGGCCATTGGAGGGAGTTAGGTGATGCACACTGGGTCAGGCAGTCTGTGTCCACAAGAACCCATACCAATCGGTGAATTCAAAGGTAAAAAAGGAGAGCCTGGATTGCCCCCAGAGTGGCCAAGTAGGCAGGTCCACAGCCTATCTGAAGGTGATATGGGTGTCCTAAGTCTGGTGCTTTTCAGAACACAAAGGGAGGGAGACAGTGCAGGCTGGGGTGGGGTAAGTAGTGACTGTCATTTGTGGAACCGCAGGTCCAACCAGGAGAAATGGTTTCTGAAAAGCCCAGGCACAAGGGACATTTACCTTGAGCCAGCCGCCAGGCACCAGGGTGGTGTGGGATGGGGGTGTGAGAGCAAGGACAGGCTGAGAAGAACGGATGCTGGTCAAGCAAGGGTCTCCCCATCAGGAGTCAAAAGCACAGGGGGAAGCCTGCCTGCCCTCAGGACCCTACCCAGGGAAAGCAGCAGGTCCAGGGGCCCTGGAACCCTGCAGGCAGCAGCACTGCACCAACCAGCCCAGGGCGCCTTTTTGGGGCGGGCCCAGGAGAAGCCGCTGGCTGCTGACTGAGCTCAGTGGCCTTGGGATCTGGGGTCTGTGTGAGGAATTACAGGTGCCCCTGCTGGAGGCTGCCACCACGATGCGGAGGCCAGGAGACCCCTTTCCTTGCTGGGTACACAGCAACCTGGAGGTTTGGGGGACCACATGGTTTACGCTAAGCTGTCCCTGGCCACTGCCTGTAGCAACTATGGTGGGCCTTCCACTGCCAACCTTTTCTTCCTTTGTGTTCCCTGGCGGAGGAGCCAGGTGCCCTTACTCCTCTGAATGAGCACAGGGCAAGTGCCAGCCTGGGCATAATCATCCATTTTCGCTTACAGTGGCGGTGGATCAGTTCCTGGTCTCTGCGTGTTGCTGATTTCCACCCGGCTCTGCTGCCTTGTGGCTCAGCTCACCAGAAACATATTCCACTTGATGGCAGTATAGCTCCATAAAGCTCAACTATAATGCTACCTGGTGCTGTAGCAAGCTCCCCCACCCTTTGGGTCTTGAAAAACAAAATCTAAAAACTGAAGGATAGAAACAGAAAACAAGAAAATAGCCACCTTACTTCCACTCTGATCCACGAACTCACAGGACCAACTGCTCAAGAACCAAGGGCTGGACAACCTGTAGGAATCTACTTTCCTGGCAGCCTTTCTTCCTTCTTCCCCCAGCAGGGGCACCTGTAATTCCTCACACAACATCCTCTCCAGTTGACTTAACTAGGGAAGGGACACATCCTGGGGCTCACTGTATCTCCATTCCAGGATTCAAATCCCAGGCTGGCTCCACAGAAGACCAGGTCCTGATCAGAGTGCTACCTGGCTCATGGTTTTCCTGCAGCCCTGGGTTTCTTGACCAAGGCTTGGGGATTCAGATAGAGGCCACACTAAAGCCAGAATTAAAGACAGGCAGTCAGTATAGATAAGAAATCTGAGGCCAACTTGGGTCTGGGAAGTAGGAGACCAACCCAGAGGAATTGAAATGTTAATGCCTTCAGAGCCCTCCCTCCACCCTTAAGAGATAACCTGCCCCTCCTCCAACCTGTTGCTAAGGTAATCTGTCCCATAAATTGTCCCTCCCTACAGGAAGTTATAAAAGTTATTAGTTAATGTCTCCTGGGCTGCTTCCTGCCTGAATCACTCCATTTGGCCCTTAGCCCTGCCCATCTGCTTCTCACCTTTTGGCTACCCCACTGGCATCACCTGGGCCTAGTCAGGTATCACAGGAAGGAAAGAGAGAATGGGGAAGAAGGCAGAAGAACAAAGAAAGTCTAGATGTATAAAGGGGGCAGGATGCCCTCACTTCTTGGAATACTAGGATACCAGCTATTCCCTCCCTTCTCCCTCCAGGGAGAAGTCTGTGTTACTCCTTTTTAAATAAACCCTGCTTTATATGCTTGCCTCAGCCTGCTTCTCTAATGTTCAAACTTCAACATGTGAGGAAGCAGAACTCATCACCAATAACCAGTGGTAGCAACACCACCTTGGGCTAGCCCAGCCAAAGCAGCCAGGAAAGGCCACTGCAAACTCCAGCCACAGGTTGGGAGGAGCAGCTTCCCCAGAATGCACTTGCCAACTCACTCCAGTCTTACTCCTGGCAGGCTGACCTGGCATTCACTAGGGGACCTGCAAAAGGCCAAAAAACACATCTCCTGAAAGGCTCATGACCTGAGTATTCTCCTATCTTTACTGCCAGTGGGAGAGGTTAGTGTGGGAGGGCTGTTTACCCAGGACTACAAAGTACACCCCACTTTCATACCTGTTCCTTGGGCCTAGGTGATAGCTCCCTTCTTTCATTAGTAAGAAGAGGCCAGAATTTCTCCATGGATTACCTGGTTGTTAAGGCTTAGAGCAGAAACTGGTAGTCTTTTTCTCAGATAACAGATAGTGATAGGGAACAG